TAATTCTTCTAAATGAAAGGATTTTATTGTATAAATCTACAAATGTTTATCACATAATAGTAACACATGATATTTACAATGATTTATCTCTGATAATTTTCCAGTGAATGTTTCTTTTTAAAAGTATATAATTCAATAATATAAACATACACAACACCATAATTCATGCAGGGTGTTAACAATTCTTATCTAATATCTTCATCAAAAGCAGTACAATAAAACCTATTCGGTAGGAGAAAATTCTCGATAAGAAATGTTAAAAGATTAACTGTTTTCATTAAAGAAACTGCACTACGCATCCGAGTACTACTAGCTTAAATCTAACAAGATAAAACTCCTAAAGCGAAAAGTAAAATCTGATTGGTAGCGTAAAAATGTTTTAGTATGTTTGTTAATTTTGTACTTTGAGTGGTAGTACTGAATTATTTTTAGTTGAAACTCAAGGTACGCACGAAGTTCTACGTAGTAACTGACTGACAAGGTACGCATTGGAGCCACTTGTATGATACAGAACACTACATACATGGAGATCTGAACGATTTTTCGATTTTATTATAAAGAATTATCTCAACGTGTTAACAAACTTATCTCTTTCAACTTTCATCACAACTGTTTGTTTGGTGGTGGCAAACTGAATATGTTTCAAAACTTTTTATTCATATATTATGAATACTTAAATTCTACATGTAAATAGGATACTTGGAAGTGACAGTATTATCAAACGAAATAAGCGGGATACTGATTAGTGAAGAATAAGAAATGTTATAGATCAGTTGTAAGCGATCAGAAAAATAGTAGTAAACTATTCTGTTATGTTCGTCACTAGGTACGCTTGAAGCTATTATTAGTTCACCTTAGTCGATAAACGCGAACGAGACCTTTACCAGCGTCCAGGTAGGCTACCTTGAATAGCAAGCTGTAAAACAGGAGTCTTGGTAAGCGTAGGAAGTATATTCTACAACACCCAGCAATCATAGTACAATCAAGCACACAACTCTCGTTTATTTATACATCATAGAAACGTCTTGTGCACAATAAATCGATCACAAGGTTAGTCCTATATATCATAATTTGTATGCATGTAAATGTCTGTTGTATTATTACAGAATCCGATTACATCCAGTAAGACATCTAAACCGTTCTTATCATTCATGGGATGCATCAGTTGCACAATTCACGCAAAAATGGTTACAAAGATTGATATCATCCGAAAATAAAACAACAGTTGAATATTTAGACAATTATCAAAATGTAAGTTTGTTATAAACAATGAATAGTATAGAATAATAACCTTGACTTCAATCATTTTTTTATTATGTTCGTCACGAAGTATGCTTGAGGCTATTACGAGTTCATCCTAGTCGATAAACGCGAACTAGACCTTTACCAGCATCCAGGTAGGCTACCTTGAAACCCAAGCGGAAGTTAGAAGGCTTTGTAAGCGTAGAAAGTATATTCTACAAATACCCAGCAATCACAGTACAATCAAGCATACAACTCCTATTTATTTATACATCATAGAAACGTCCTTCGGGCAGTCGCTAAAATACACAGAATCCAGTCACAGCCAAGGAATTTCCTGGTGGGAAATGAAATCTCAAGGTCAATTGATCAGCCCATGCTGGCAAACGTGAAATCGAAATTAAGGCATTTATAAAGCGAGTTCTGGAGAACTAACATTCCAACATATTCAGAATTGATAGCCGTGAATTCAGGAAACCATTCCGACAAGTGCTGCACGACCGTACCCATAATATCATACTTTAATTCAAATTTTGAATCGATCACTGTCAGACAATCATTAGAAACTTGGAAGCACTGGACATTCATTTCGTCCTAGTATGGGTCTCATCAACAGTGCACATCCACAACCCCCGCTCACAAGAATCGGACTATGGATCTTCGGTCTAGCGTGCGAATGTCCAACCTACAGACCATTGAACCGGCATCCAACGGTGTTAATATCTAAATCTAATCAATCTCTGATTTATTTGTTCACTCAGAATCAACAGACAGGAAATTCACGCTTAAAGAAGTGCAAAACATTTTTGTAATCACTGGTGAAGTTTTAAGAAGAAAATAATTGTACAGTGTCCATTGGAATTCAAAATAAAGGAAATTCGATTGTTTTAATCATTTGTAAAGAACTGTTCGTAATAACTGGTTAACAGCATGTAGAGTGTTCAGGATTTATGTGTTTAAATGGGAATGGAGTGTTGAAAGAAATCGATCAGTCACTCTGCTACAAATTAGAACTTCGTACGTACGTACCTCAGTTCATGTCACTATACCACATCATCATACAGTGAACGAAGCATCAATTCAAATCCCATAGTAGTGGAGGTAGTGAATATATTAGCGTCAGTCAAACAGATTAGGGATCGAAAATACTATTAGAAAAGTATATTCCAGGAGAATCAATTTTAAAAAAGAGAGTACAGTGATCGTGAGGAATTCAGAAGTTAAGAGAAGACAAAGAATGAATGGATCTGCACCACTACTAATGATTTTGAGACACGCCATCCGAGGTCGCTAACCATCGGTTACTGTTGTCTCATGGACCATAACTAGGTAGTCTACACTTACCAACACGGCTCAGTCCACTTTACTGTGACTAAGGATTTGTCACATGTTTTGGTTTGGTCGCCCTTAGCTTTCTTCCAACCTACCTACACATCACAAAACATCGCTCCTCGGAGCAGTTGTTTGTTGGGTATTCGAAATATACATCCCAACCACCTCAACTGATGAAGTTTTAATACTTCATCTATTTATCTGCCATCCTCACCTAGTATTCGTTTCCTAACATCAGCATCGGTTACTTGATAGTCCCAAAATAAATGACAAATGCTTGGGAGACATCTATGACGTGTCAGTTAACTATGCAAGTTTAAACTAGTAGTCAAGTGGGTCACAAATTTTATCTCAGAAAAAGGAAAATAATGTAAACATATTATTGTTCATTCATATATCGTAACTTACTTTAGAATGTAACCATTGGAATGTAAATCTATTTTATTGTATTTTGGTTTATTGTTATTTACATTAAATAAATTAAGTGAACTACTGCAATGAACGTCTACACCAAAGGTGACGGAAGTTAGAGAAAGCTAGTTGAGCCTTCTGTATCCCTGCTGAGATCTCGTCACACAACAGGGCATCGGCAGTGGTGAGACTCCCAAGATAAGTGAGTTGGTCGAATCGCTCAACTGCTTCACTCCCTATACCTGGTTCATGTGTCGATACAAGTCAATCCTGAAGCAACATTTTGCGTTTCGAGGTGAAGAATAGCATCTCAAACATGCTAACATTGTTTTATTTTTTTCAGCGTCTTCGCCAAATAGAACTGTGTCGTCGGCATAATCTAAGCCGCCAGGCGAATCTCTTGGTAGAAGTGAGTCAATCAAAGTGTCGTATCTAAAATCATGACAATGATTAAGTTAAACAAGAATGAAGAAATTGGACAACCGTGAAGAACACTTAACATAATAATTTTCGATAACAGTTAGCCATAAGCTCTAACTCGATCGGCAGTATTTGAGTAGAGAGCTTGTATAAAGTTAAAGTACTTCTCTGGTACGCCTTTCAGTGAAAAACACTACCTTAGAACCTTTCGAATTTAAAGAGTCAAACGCCTCCTTAAGGTCGAGAAACACTTCTATTATGGGACGTTTGAATGTGTGTCTATGTTCTAGGGCTTGACTTAGTGTGAATATCTGGTCTATACAGCCACGTCCAGTTCTGACATCATGTTGATTTTCTCCAGTCTGCTCTTCATGAGCTCTAGTCAGGCTTTTGAATATTGGTGAAGTCATTATCTTAAACGCTACATTGGTCAAAATGATTCCTCTGCGATTGTCACAAGAGGACATGTCTTTTTTTTAGTAAACTGGGACAATCAATGATTTCGAACAGTCAAATGGAAATATTTCCACTTCCAAGATTCTACCTAAAATCTCAGTTAATCTAGCTGATAAAAGTAGACCACCATCCTTAAAAATTTCACAAGTTATGCTATCTGGACCCGCTGCTCTCCCTTGTCTTAGATTTTAACTTCATTAATAGTTGGAGTACTTACATCATTTCGCCATTCAGACTGACTGGAGGTCGTGGATATCTGAAGTGTATCTGAAGGTCGGTTGAATCGATCCCTAATCTGTTCTACCCATCGATTTAATTTCCTGGATCGAGAATAAACAAGAGTCCCATCCTTTTTCGAGATAGTCTCACTAACAGTCGGATTTCTAATACCGGTTTCCTTGATATGTATACTGTTGAATATTTCAGCGACCCAGCGGTAGCTGCCATCTTGACGTGGTGGTCGGACTTGCCTATCATGATCATCTAACCAAACTGTGCTGGTTGGAACATATATTCCTTTAGGTTCTTCCATGTAAGGCATGTTGATTGAAGAACGTTAAGACTAAAAGCAGCAAGTTAAGTTTTGAGGATGAAGTCGTACTACTGACTATAGAGTGGTTCGACATCACTAAGGTGTTTCCCTCAGACAATCAGCATCTGCAGTGATGGTGCAGTCTAACCTTTTTTTTCATTTTACAGTGAAGCGTTATCAAGGACTTCAATTTCTAAGTTACGACTTCGAAGCAAAAATACTGCAATTCGTATGAAAAGGCAGTACATCTGACTATCATGAATAAAACAAATGTTGTATGAAGCTGAGTATCTCAATTCACACATTTAGTAAATAGCTTTCCTTAATTGTCAATCACTATATGCTTAACTAAACTTACATCTTATCATTACCGAATTGAATGCTGTGATGTAACTTATCTCATAAGCTTTAAATAACTAATTTATTTATAGGGGTAGAAAATTCATACATGACACTTGAAATGAATCAAAATCTTCATTTCATGAAAACAGAAATAAACAAATGAAGAAAGAGAGCAGAGATCAAAAAAAAAAATGTATAAAATATCAAACTGTATGATTGATTTCATTGTTCTATTACGCAAAATTTTTTCTCATAACTTATAGTACTCAAATCACCTATGAACTTAGTTTTGTTTTTTTTGTATAATTTCTCAAAGAGTATTTATTAATGATGATGAATTCAAGGTAGATAACTTCACAACCATAAATCAAAATTAATCAAAAGACAAATGATATTATTTCAAGTTTGTATTTTATTACTACCTATCTTTGTGCACAATAAATCGATCACAAGGTTAGTCCTATATATCATAATTTGTATGCATGTAAATGTCTGTTGTATTATTACAGAATCCGATTACATCCAGTAAGACATCTAAACCGTTCTTATCATTCATGGGATGCATCAGTTGCACAATTCACGCAAAAATGGTTACAAAGATTGATATCATCCGAAAATAAAACAACAGTTGAATATTTAGACAATTATCAAAATGTAAGTTTGTTATAAACAATGAATAGTATAGAATAATAACCTTGACTTCAATCATTTTTTTATTATGTTCGTCACGAAGTATGCTTGAGGCTATTACGAGTTCATCCTAGTCGATAAACGCGAACTAGACCTTTACCAGCATCCAGGTAGGCTACCTTGAAACCCAAGCGGAAGTTAGAAGGCTTTGTAAGCGTAGAAAGTATATTCTACAAATACCCAGCAATCACAGTACAATCAAGCATACAACTCCTATTTATTTATACATCATAGAAACGTCCTTGGTACAGTTAAGAAAATAGCACACTAAAATACACAGCAGCCAATCACAGCCATGGTTTTTCCTGGTATGAAATGAAATCTCAAAGTCAACTGATCAGCCCATGCTGGCATACGTGAAAACCAAAATAAGGCATTTTTCAAGCGTGTTTTGGGGATCTAGCATCACCAACACTTCTCTCCTGTCGATCTGCTAATTCACTATCATTTCATTTTTATTCAGATTGAATATTATGGAGAGATTTCTATTGGGACACCACCACAAACATTTCATGTGTTATTTGACACAGGATCACCATATTTGTGGATTCCATCAATAAAATGTGATTCTAGTGATTTAGCTTGTCAAGCACATCATAAATATGATAATTCAAAATCTTCAACTTATAAACCAAATGGTGAATCATTCTCTGTTCAATACGGTACTGGAACAGCATCAGGATTCTTAAGTTCAGATAATGTTCATGTAAGTCATATATATATAATATTCTGTTTAATTAAAAAAAAATAATTATTATCTAGATAGGTTCTTTGAGTATTGTCGATCAACTATTTGGTGAAATCACTGAACAACCTGGTGAAGTATTTGTAAATTTACATTTTGATGGAATTATGGGTATGGCATTTCAACAAACTTCAACAAATTCTAATCCAACACCTATATTTAATAATATGATTCAACAGAATTTAATAGATGAAGCTGTGTTTGCGGTTTATTTAAATCAGTAAGTTAATTAACTAATTATTTAAAAGAATTGTTTATTTGATAAAAATCATTATAACATAAGCTCAGTTAGAATATGATTGATATTCTATAGTAAAATCTAGAATATACATCTTTATTGGATCGAATGATAGAATTTCTCTGTATGTACGTTATTGTTTTGTCTTAAAAATAGTTGTATTTGCTTTGGGTAGGAGGTGTAGGAACGATTTGTTTGTGATCGTATTGGTCTCGCGTGCTGTTACGGGTATGAGGGCGGTTGTCACTTCCGGGATGCCCACACAGTGGAACGGTGTTTCTTGAGGAACCTGAAAAGGAAGGTAGATTAGTGTCGGTCTTGGAGACCTGGGAGCGTGACCGCAGAGTCCAAGGGACAACTGCTTGAGGCCGGTCACGCACGGCATTTTCATGGAAGGTATTTTTAGTATTAGCTCCGCTCTTGAAAGCCCTTAGTGGGCTGCCCTTACCGACGGAGGCGGAAATCCGTGAGGTAGGGTGAGGTGTGACATTTTTAGGGTCGACCTTTTCTAACTCTTCCTTCCTTGTGAGAAGTCAGCATCGCTGCAGATGCTGGTTGTCCGAGGGAAACACCTTACTGCTGTCACACCCCGCTGCAGTCGGCAGTACGACTTCGCCCTCAGACCTTGAGTATCTGCTTTTAGGGTGATCGTTCTCCAGTCGACCTGCATAGCATGGTAGAACCTTCAGAAACATGTGTCGACTGGTACATCACAATGGGCAAGCCCGACCACCACGTCAAGGTAGCAGCTACGGATGGGATTTTCTTTAGTGGTATGTTTTGTGTCTGTGAATGTTCTGCTTAACCAAACGATATACTTCATGTTTGAATGAACTAATATATATATATATATATATATATATATATATATATATATATATATATATGGATTAATTGTGTGTATACCAATGTTTCCCATCAAACAAGTTATTTTCCAATGTACGGTGAATGATAGATTTCATATTTATTGATTTTCCTTTGATCATTGAGAAACGAGGATAAGACAACTAGTGGAGAAATAATGTTTGGTGGAATTGATGACAGATATTATACTGGAAGTATAACTTATTCAGACGTTGTCGATAAAGAATATTGGATGATTAAATTTGATGGGTAAGTAAATTCTTGAAAGAATACTTTTATCTTGAGAATACGTAGTTTTAATAAATAATCAAATTCAGTCAAAAGGAGTATTGAATTTAGGATAAAAAACATAGAGTGCATTCATTGAGTAGTAAAATTTAACTATATTCACTCCCTTAAATCTTTTTCATTGAATAAAACAAAATCTCAGTATAATAGAAATGTGATAACTGAATTGTTGTGTTTTATTATTGCTACTGAAATCAATCAATAGGTCAATCAATAGGAACGTAGAACTTCGTACGTACGTACATCAGTTCATGTTGCCATACCACATTAGCACAGAGATGTAATTGTCAATTCAAATCCAATAGTAGAAGAGGTAGTAAAGGTGTTAGATGTAGTCGGAGAGGTTAGGATTAGAAGTTATTATTCAAGAAGTAGAATCTAGTGAAATAGACTTAAAAAGATAAGGATAAAGTGATGAGTAATTAAAAACTTTAGGATTTGAGAGAACACAAAGAATAAATGCACCTGCGCCATTGAAAACGGCTTTCAGCCATTTCATTCAGGGTCTCTAACCATCGATTATTATCATCTCGCGTAACCTAACCAGGTAATCGACAACTACCGACATGAATCAGTAGACTTGTCAATGACTTCATGGATTTGTATCATGTTTTGGTCTGGCCGCCCCTAGCTTTCTTTCAAACTACTCCTAAACTACAAAACAAAGGTCGTCGAGGCAGTCGGTGGTTAGGCATACGGACTCATGTCCCAACCACCTCAACTGATGATGTTTGGATATTTCATCGATTGATTTGCCATTCTTATCTGGCACCCGTTTCCTAACAACAGCATTGTTTACTCGATTGTCCAAGGATTCACGAGCAATGCTTCGAAGACACTTATGATCGAATACCAGTAACCTACGAATATCTTCTACTCTCACTGGCCATGTTTCACAGCCATAAAGTAAGACAGAGCGAACTACTGTGCAGTACGCTCGTCCTTTAGTCAGCAAATGGATATCTCGCCTACGCCATAAATGACGCAGGTTGGCAAAAGCCAATCGAGCATTCTGTATCCGTGCAGAGATTTCGTCAGTCTCCAGGTGGTCATCGGCTCTGGTGAGACTCCCCAGATAAGTTACGCGGTTAGCACGCCCAACTGCTGACTGAAATCACACAGTTTCATATATATGTATAGTCAATCCAAAAGATTAACTAGCGCGACCAATCAAAATCTCTATGGTCAAAGCAGGTTTTCTGTCAGCAATGTGGTAGGAAATGCGCACTGAATTCCAATCATTAAAGAAACAAAGGATTCATAAAGAAAATCGTTTACGTTTAGTGACATTTTTTTTCAGATAAGTTGGCGCGTACAAAGTAATAATTCAAAATTTATAAATTCGAATCATATAATATGAAGTGAAGAAAAGATAGTTTCAGAGAATCGATACTTTTCTTATGCGAGATTTAAATCGATTATTTATAGAATTCTATTATTATTATTATTATTATTATTATTATTATTATTATTATTATTATTATTTATACTGTCTTTTTCAATTCATCTTGTAAAACATTGATGAAAGTATTTCAATCAATGATGAAATATTTTGTCCAAATGGAAGTAACGCACTTATTGATACGGGGACAGCTTTAATATCAGGTCCAACGGAGAAAATTAACAAGATTAATACATATCTTGGCAGTTTACAGACGTCTACTAATGAATACATTGTGGATTGTAATAAAATTCACGAGTTACCCGCTATTCAAATAAAGATTAATGATAAATCTATCCAATTGAATCCAGATGATTATATTGTTGAGGTGAGGAAAAACAATTATTTGAAATGACAATATATGATTGCTTTAAAGATGGTTATCAGCTGACAGTAATCAGATGCATGTATACATAAATATAACAGTTGTTTTAGATGTAAATTTTCACAAACATTCCAACTTTGTAATAACCCATGTTTTTCATCGAACACGAAAATATTCACTGTTTATTGTTTAGAGTAAGTACAAGTGATATACTGTGTTTCAATAAGTAGTGACTACTTTATCTAGCGTTCTGGTTGTACAGCTGACCATATAACCAAGTACTGTAATGAATGGACAATAATTTTTCTTTTGATAGAACAGTGAGAAGACGTAATTGATCTTCTCACTGTTCTATCAAAATTTATAAAAGGGACTAATTGTTTTAAATAATTTTTCTGCATAGAATTAAAGATTACTTAGAAAATTATTCGTTGACCGCGATATTCAGTTCATTTATATGAAACATGGCGCATGTGAGTGACCTTAACTCTCCTAAGCATGAGCAAACTGTTTCGATTAAAAAGGTGCTTAATAATGGGACATTTAAAAAAACTGATTAAAATTTTTCTGAGTAATTTAATTGTAGAATAATTAGATCTGTTTTCAGATACTTCTAAATAATAGGATATTTACTTTACGAATATATTTCATTATGATCTCATTACTATCAGTAGACTACTACTCAATAGACTATGTTCAGGTCTAAATCTATGTCGTTAGAAAACAGACTATATTACTGCGTGATCATAGATCAAGTTAATAAAACACTCAATAAAAATGTCTTCCGAATGTTAGCAATAAAAGTTATAGTGTAAATTCAATTTTATTCAACAGGTTGGTTTGTTGATTATTATGATATAACTGTCAACAATGGTGAACAAATGATTACATTTAAAGTAAAGTCTGGTATCAAAATATCTTACTGATCTGGAAACCCTAATTCGATGTGATTTATTGACGTTTTTGAGTGAAGGGAAATTCAATTGTATGCTCATCAACCACTGAATAATATTCTATATTATGTTGAGCAGTTTTCGCTAATAAATGGATCTTATTTATGAGCTTATTACTATGAGAAATAAACTAAGTAACACGTAATTACTGTACACTGTGGCTGGTCGTAAAGATGTTTTGGATTTATATTCTCTGCTGACTAGCAACCATTGTCTCAGGATCTCTTAAAACTTCAAGGAAATAGACATTTTACTAGTGATTCTGATCTAAGTCACCAACAACTGTTGTCAAAGAAGTTACAATTATATTGATCTACCAAGTGTTTCTATTACTGAAACTATGATCTCTACTACCTCCAAGTATAGTTATCCTTTTCAATATTTTTGTTATAAAAAGTTACTTTTGTCTTTGCTGCACATTAGATATTGCTTACTAAATTATTTAACATTTTTTCCATTGAAAATTATGTTGGTCAATTTATTACTAACAATCAGTTAAAAATTATGCCTGTCTATCTATATGTTTTCGTTCAATTATCTAGGTGCTGGCGTATTCACATTGTTTCCCAGCAAGCTTTTTCTTTGTATCGTATAGCTGTCTCACATTTCCCTCTCTTATGTCTATTTCTGCTATCATTGTTCGATCTTTGACATATTTACGTTCATCATTTCTGATGCTTCGCTTTACTTTATGACTATCGGAAACTACGTTAGCTCTTCCCTTGGTTCTCACGTCCTCCATGATGGTCCTAAACTTTTTATTGGTATAGGTGTGATAGATTTGTTTCTGTATTGCGGTCAGGTGAAACCCATGTAGCTTTATGTACTCATTTGTATAAGAATATAGTGTCATCTATAACCATTTGGTTAGATAAACACAGATTTGTAAATCTTTTACTGTTTACATTCTTTTCTCTCATTCCATGTCGTTCCATGATATCTTCATCTACGGTGCTGTCCACTCCAGCATTGGAATTGAAGTCTCCTATCACAATGGTTAAATCCTTTCTTGTGCACTTTACAACGATTGACTGCAGACACATAAAATCGATCTATATCGTCTTCATTGTTATAGTTGGTAGGCGCATGTCATTAAGTGAAATTCATTGTAATTCCCTCTTTCTTTGTTTTCAAGGATGTTTTAATGATGTCAAGTACATGAGATGTTCATCCTATAAGTGTTTTCTGTGCTTCTCTGGACATCATCGGTGCAATCCTTTTATGTACTAGCCATTTTCTTCTTCATGGTCGGAGTAAAACAGCATCTTACTTGAAGTTAATCTTCTTTTGCAATCTGTGTTCAATGCGTCCCACATATATGACAAGCATCACCAGGTTGTATCTTATCACTTCAGCAGCAACTTTTATCGTTCTATCACAATGCGCAAACATTCTATGTTACTGTGGTGGTGAGATGGGGCGTCGGTCTTGTGACTTTTGAAGAAACTCGGTTTTTATCATGAGGCGTAGTAACTCTTCCAAATGAATACATTCCAATTCACAGTGTAGAGTGTAAATGGTTAAAATTATTTCTTATGGTTAGCAACTTGTTAGGAAATTAGTTTCCCATGCGGTGTGGTCTCTAACCCCATGCTTAACTCTCCTCTCTTAGGCGGATTTGGGATCAACAGTGACTCTAGAAGGGCTCCAACCAGAATTCGAACGTTTACAAATTGATCAAAAAGTATTGATAGACAGTAGTTTTTTTGACTATCTGACATGAACTTCATGAATGGTAAATAGGAATTACTATAAGCTGAACTATAAATGTTTATCCATATAAATGTTTTGAGTACAATTGATAATATTTAATTATTATTATTATTTTAATTTCTAGAAAGTTTCAAACAGTTCTCGAATTTGCAAAACTTGTTTCATTAGTAATAACTTCCCACGTGGCCCATTATGGATATTTGGGGATGTATTTTTAAGAAAAGTTTATACAGTATTTGATGTTGGTCATTTACGCATAGGAATTGCTAACGCTGCGTCAAATGTCAAACTTTCATAAATAAAATCAATATTTTGAACATAATTAAGAATTATATTTTTGATTTTGTATTATTTCTAAAGTAACACTACTGAACTAATTATTAATATGTATGAAATGATTACAAAGTTCGTTTTGATTTGAAGTGACTTTCTGTACTTCTGTTTTTTTTATACTTATGTCATATGGTTGTTTGTTTTTTTCGTTTCCTTAAGTATATAAACAAGCAGAATAATAAGTTGACAATTTTCTTTCTACTAATCAACAGTAGCAATTGAGACTATCTATGCGAACATTTATGAATATTTAATAGTTTACATCAGACTACTCATTAGTATTAGATAACCATGTTGTCTAAATTATTTGTATTTGCTAAAATAGGAAATTACACAAACATTGTTAATAATACAATCACACTGAAATGATCTAAATTGTCTACTCACTGATTCATAGATATCAACAGAAGGGTATTTACTCAATGTTGTATATCAGGAAAGGTATGTTGATAGTAAATGATAAGTAATGTTGCCAGAAATTTACAATAACTACTCCAGGTACAATAAATTATAAGCGAATAGGCCGATGTGACGTTCTGTATGTAAGTTACTATTCGTGTAATTCAGCACCATTTGGAAACAGATGTTTTACTAAGTGACTAAGTTTTGGAGGTGTATATTGTAATATGTGAATTATTAATTTAGAGATCTTTGGTCATAACTCTAGCAATGACGACCATTCAGAAATGAGTACAAAGAACACAACGAACTTGCTCGAATATACAGTAAACTGGCATTAGAATAAGGTACATACATCAATATATAACGTAATTCTCATTATATACATCACATTGAAGCGACAGAACGATCAGTATTTTATCATAAATTAGGTAAAGCAGTGACTAAGTGACTTGTGTATCCAAAATTCAGTGATTGGTTCAGAAATTAGCATACATCATGCCTACTTTTCTGCAAGTATATGAACAGGGTTCCTTGCTTAAAAACATGCATCTGATAACTGTCTTACATTAATGTTGACTTGTGGATAACAGTCAACGTATCGCTAACTGGTTTAATCTTAATAAGCTGTGGTTAGGGCTTAAAGCTGATAGTATTACACAACAGTTCCTCCTACTCGAATTTATAAAGCACATATTTTAACATGTCATTGTTGCGACCACGGTATATGGCTGCTAGTAAAGAGGATAGTGATTATTGTGAGAAACACAGAACTACATACGATCAAACGACGTTGATAACTGCCAGCTTATCATAAAATATTCAATTGATTGACCGTGTATAAATTCAAAGAATAATAAACTTTACAATTTCGATGATAGGAAATAATCAGCCAAAGTAATAATGCTAATAAAGACTGAAACTTAAAGGTTGCAACATACATGTAGGGCTGGTGAAATATCAATGACCTATAGTCAAATCATTCATCAAACTGAAATATTTCTGTGTTAGAGGACCTTGATGAATTTAATCACTGTCAAGAATAACCAGTGCCCTTGTAGTGGAACTATTTCGTCGAAATAATACGATTACTGACGTACAAATACTTATTATTGAACATATGTAACATTAACTGTTTTATTGTATAACATTTGTTTATTTATACTAAAAGTCACTTTTCGAGCGCCACCCACGCCATCCCTGCGGATCTAACGATCGTCTCGTGTTATCATCGATTGTACAAGCTGAACACGTGATATTATTCTAATATCACTCGATTTTCTATTAATAAACGTTGATATCCCATATACAATCTTCTGATCTGGAGTTCGTTTGGACGTGTAACCTTCACGCTTCAACATTGGTGAGCCATTGGTCTGGAACGCGCTATTATTCGGATATCTTCGCCACAAAACGATAAAACTTGGTGAGTCTGTCAGTTTTCTATCCATTTATCATTTTATTTATTCTGTTGCTTAATACTTATATATAATTAACTAGCAACAGCGATTTAATCTTAATTAACAATGGATAGCGCTAAATGTACTGATATGACAGACTCCCAGATCCAGGTCCTTAATTTTCGACCTGTCTCCTTTATTCCCCACGATCCAGAGGTCTGGTTCGCGACACTGGAGACTCAGTTCGAGATCCGTCGCATAACGAACCAGCGGCTTATGTTTGCCTATGCCCTGGAATCCTTACCTGGGGACCATATAGCGGCTGTTCGTGAGGTCGTCCTCAACCGCAACGCCCCAGATGCCTACAATCGTCTCAAGGAGGCGATTCTGCAGCATTTCCTCCCATCGAAGGAGGAACGCTTGAGGACTCTTTTAGCACGTCACCCTATGGGTGATGCTAAACCGAGCCACCACCTCACGCGCCTGCAATCACTAGCAGGACCGACAGCGGCTAACTCAGATATAGTCAAGGAGCTGTGGCTCGACTCACTACCAGCCTATGTTCAGCCTACGATCGCCGCCCTGCCCGAAGATATGCCGCTAAGCCAAGTTGCACTAGTGGCAGACAGAGTGATTACACGAACCGGCCATCGAGACAACTATACTGTTGCGTCCACGTCACATACCGGCGTGGGCCTCGAGGCCAAACAGGGTAAAGCGCATAAGGATCAGGGTTGCTGTATACACAGCCGTCTGAGTTTTTCAGACCGTTCCAAAGTACCTGAACCCTACGTCCTGCGAGCACGATCGCGATCACGTAAGGCTGTAAGTACTCGCCCCCAGCGGGCATCTTCCAAGCCACGCCAACGAGGGGCTTCGGAAGCGAGTACCGGTTGGTGCTGGTTCCATCGGACTTTCAGGTCCGCCGCCCGCCATTGTCGACCTCCATGCTCATACAAGGCGGGAAACTCCCAAGCCGGCGAGTAAAAGCGGCCCTACTCGCCGGCCACTCACCTCAGGTTGGCCGTTTATTTTACGTGCACGATATCCGCACGAACGCTAGGTACCTAGTTGACACCGGTGCCCAAGTTTCTGTCGTACCATTAGGTAGCAGCAAGTTACAACCTACAATAATTCGATTACGCGCTGCGAATGGCACTGTCATTCCTACCTATGGTACACGACAGCTATCGGTCAACCTGAGCAGCCGGCGACAGTATCTGTGGACGTTCATCATTGCCGATGTTCCCACAGCTATACTTGGTATCGATTTCCTACAGCACTATGAATTGCTAGTCGATACACGTAGGCTGCAGCTAATCGATACTTCGTCGAACAGCAAATTTATGGGCTTTCGAGCTCATACAAATGCGTACCGAATAACAGGTTTATTTCATTCGCGTGATGACATTTTCCACGCTTTATTCGAAAAATTCCCCCAATTAACTAAACCACTCGAGGAGACTCCGTCGGTGACCCGACATGTAGTACACCACATCGTCACCCGCGGACCACCAGTCACGGCAAAGCCTCGCCGACTGGCACCGGACAAATTAGCTTTCGCTAAACGTGAGTTCGACAATTTACTAGCTACTGGTATTATTCGTCCTTCTCACAGTCCATGGGCCTCACCACTCCACATGGTTCGAAAAAAGGATGGGATAAGTTGGCGACCATGTGGCGACTACCGAGCACTAAATGTAGTCACGCGTTTCGATAGTTACCCCATCCCCCACATACACGACATCACGGCATCACTCAAGGGCACGACTATCTATTCTAAGATCGATCTGGTACGGGCATACCATCAGATCCCAGTCGCTCCTGAGGATATTGAGAAAACTGCTGTCACGACTCCTTTCGGTCTGTTTGAGTTCCTACGAATGCCATTTGGATTACGGAATGCTGCTCAAACTTTCCAGAGGTTTATCGATAGCATAGTACGAGACTTTGATTTTGTTCACGTCTATATTGATGACTTGTTAATCGCATCATCAAACGTAGATGAACATTATCAACATCTGAAACTCTTATTCCAACGTCTTTCGGATAATGGAATACTAATCAACCCAGATAAGTGCGAACTTGGAAAAGCAGAAATAAAATTTCTGGGTCACGTTATAAGGCATGAGGGTATTTTGCCATGTGAAGATAAAGTACGTACGATCATGGAGTACACTGTACCGTCTTCACTCAAAGAACTGAAGGCTTTTCTCGGTTTGGTCAACTTCTATCGACGTTTCATTCCTCACGCCACGGAACAGTTACGACCACTAACCGATCTACTTCGCGGGAATCCACGTAAGCTAGAATTGAACGATGACGCACGTACTGCATTTTCCGAAATTAAAAAAGCTTTAGCTCAAGCTACGCTCCTCGCCCATCCCGACCCATCAGCCACGCTCAGTATAGCGGTTGATGCATCTGATTTCGCTATAGGAGCCGTCATGCAACAAAATATCTCTGGAAGTTGGCACCCTCTCGAATTTTTCTCACGACGCCTTACTACCACGGAGATGAGATATAGCGCTTTTGGTCGCGAACTGCTAGCAGCCTACTGTGCCATCAAACATTTTCGGCACGCAGTAGAAGGTCGTAACTTTATCCTTTTTACCGACCATAAGCCCCTAACGTATGCTCTTCATACAAAATCTGACCGCTACTCACCACGAGAGTGCAGACATTTGGACTATATCTCTCAGTTCACGACAGACCTTCGTCATATTAAAGGCGAGTCGAACTACGTTGCTGATGCTTTGTCACGTATTCAAATGAATGCAGTTACTTCACCAGTGCTCGATCTTCCTGCTATGGCCGCCGCCCAAGCAAACGATCCTTCTTGTTCAGAAGCACAACAGAATACATCCCTTCAGTGTCAGGAAGTGCCCCTAGCTACTACCTCAGGCACTATCCTATGTGATACCTCTAATGGTCTTCCTCGACCCATCGTACCCTCTGCTTATCGTCGTCTCGTCTTCGATGCCCTTCATGGTTTGTCTCATCCAGGTATCGCAGCTACATTACGTCTTATCGCTGCACGATACGTCTGGCCTTCCATGAACAAAGATGTCCGTATGTGGGTAAAGCAATGCTTACAATGTCAACGATCAAAAGTGCACAGGCACGTAGCCGCCCCCATCGGCACATTTGCTACGCCTGATGCTCGCTTCGATCACGTTCATATTGACATTGTAGGACCATTACCACCATCGCATGGGTATGATCACATACTCACGTGCATTGATCGCTTTACAAGATGGCCCGAAGCTATTCCCATCACTTCTATTACGGCGGAAACAGTTGCTCACCGCTTCGTAGAACGATGGATAGCTCTGTACGGTTGTCCCTCGACTGTCACAACTGACCGAGGACAACAATTCGAG